TCGGGAGTAAGTTCATTCAACCCAGAGTATTTTTTCGTTTAATCACTGAGAATAAGAACTATATTGTTTGTTTGATGCTAACTATATAATAAGAAATATCACATATGTAGTTTTATTATAGAAATATATTATAGAAAATGCAGATCCATGACAATAAAATATAGTAAGCATATTAGAATAAAATAAACATTACCTTGTTATAATAGTGTCTTATAATTAATATTTATCTAACTATTTTATGACAATAGAATAAATAAAATAACCTGTAATGTCTTCTGTCTCTGATATATTAGAGAGTTTTATCCAGTCAAAGCTCTTTTAGTGTAATTGTACAAACGTCCAGCTTCAGCTGCTCCTTCTTTTTTTTCGTTTAATCTTTTAATCACTGAGAATAAGAACTATATTGTTTGTTTGATGCTAATTATATAATAAGAAATATCACATATGCATTTTATTATAGAAATATATTATAGAAAATGCAGATCCATGACAATAAAATATAGTAAGCATATTAGAATAAAATAAACATTACCTTGTTATAATAGTGTCTTATAATTAATATTTATCTAACTATTTTATGACAATAGAATAAATAAAATAACCTGTAATGTCTTCTGTCTCTGATATATTAGAGAGTTTTATCCAGTCAAAGCTCTTTTAGTGTAATTGTACAAACGTCCAGCTTCAGCTGCTCCTTCTCGTGTCTTTCTGCTGTCAAATCTTGACTGATTTTTATCAAGTAAACGTCAGAATAACTGCAGTCATATTTCCAGATGAACACTTACTGGACTGAAGCAGCTCAGCTTTACTTGATTCTCCATCAATCATGTTTTAGAGTCTCAAATCTGATCCTCAGGATCTTTTGAGGAGCGTTTGTTTCCAGAAGCTTTACTTTCACTGTTCCTCAGCGGAGGAATGATCATCACAAGCCTCCAGAACATCTCACATCTTCTGAGGAGCCTTTATTTCTTCATCTTTTAATCAGCATTGCATTATATGTTTATTATTATTATATTAACCCGTAATAAAATAACGTGTTAGAATAATAAAATATTACTTTATATAGTACTTGTAATTTATCCACTTGCTTACCCTTAAACATACCTGGGTATGTCACATAACCTGCTTTCTGGAATACCCCCTGGGATAAGTGTGTAGTTCAGATATAAACATTGATGTGTAATCAAAATAGAGTAAATCACCTTTTGAAATTAATGTCAGTTCAAATAAAGATTTATCGATTGCATTGTTACGTCAGTAGGTGGCGAAAAGGGGCTGTTAAAATGTATTTGTCTTTGAATCATTTAAGAGAATGATTCAAAAATGCTGATTCATCCAGTAATGAAACAAGTAAATCTAGAGTGAGCGATTGAATATCATTTAAGAGAATGATTAAAAAATGCTGATTCATCCAGTAATGAAACAAGTAAATCTAGAGTGAGTGACTGAATCATTCATTAATAACTGACATGTGATCAGAATCGTGAGAACCACAAACTCCATAAAAAAATAAAAAAAAATCTATTTTAAAAAAATTTATCCAGAATCCTTATTTTTGTTCATGGTACTGTATTCTGCTGCAACTAAACGGTTTGCAAAAAAAGTCACAGAATAAGTTTGATATCTAAATATTTGACTTATTTTTTAATCACTACTGCCATTGGAAAATATAGAAAATGGACAAAAATTTTTAATATTCAAAATCCTGCCTTCAAGCACTTGAAAATGTAAAAGCCAAAGCAGACTTTTTACGCAAGAGAAACTTCAGTATTTTCTTCTGCTGGGTTCTAGGTCAAATGGGTTTTTCTGGTAACGAGAAAGCAGATATCACTGCAAAAGGAGCACTCAAACTGAATATTTCTGAGTGTCAAATTCCTTTTTGTGATGTCAAACCTGTGATAAACTTATATTAATGACATGTGGCAGATGGAATTGGATAAATGTCATGAAAATAAGCTATATGAAACTGATCCTAGTGTAAGAATTATTATTTATTTTTTTTTTTACTCATTTTAAATCTATGTATGACCAAGTTGTTTTTACAAGGTGTCTTTTAGGTCATACAAGATTTACACATGGATATTTATTAAAAGGTGAAGAACCACCATCATGCCTTACTTGCCAAACTAAAATGACTGTGAAGCATATATTATTGGATTGTACTGTTTTTAATGTAAATAGACAATGGTTTTATTCAGAGGTGTGTCTAACTGATTTATTTAAAAATGTATCACCTG